TTGACATACCATGTAACACAGGCCAATGCTTAAAACTGTTGGTTCACCAAATACAGAATTTAGATTTTAGTATTCATTGCTATTGCAGTGACCAGAAGAAACGTTTCAAATAATGACATATATATATACATATAAGCCAATGTTTCAAGAATATTTTTATAAAGTTCAAATAATAATGAAATTATTGTTTCTAGAAAACTGCTTTCTTTGCCCACCTACAACTTTCATTTTCCCTCTTCTCTCAGTTTCTATGGAATGGGATTGTTGAAATTTGATTTGATACTGTTTTCTTAGATTGCTGTTAATGAAAGAAAAAGGAGAAAGGTCTTTCTCAGCCCTGTAAAACCGAACTATTTGGCTTGCCTAGTGCCTGTTCCTTGGGCTTATCGTTATTTCTGCCACAAATCTGAGCTCTGCCTACTAGCTTTCACCTTGAATGATTTCTAAATTTTCACTTAGTTCATCCTCATCCTGGTGCTTTCCCTCTTTCTTATTCTTAATCTGGCTAATTGAGTTATCCTACATGTTAAAATCTGACCTCAGGTCAGCAAACTCTCCTTAAACTTCTATAATGCCCGCAATTTAAAATAAAATTTAATGAATGATATAAGGATGGTAAAGGAGAATTTTTTGATTTGCATGAAACTTCTGGATGAATGGTACTGAGTTTAATTTCCTGTCAACTCCAATTATATCACTAACATGGCTGCCACTGACTCAGACAGATACTGTCCTTCCATGACACAAAATAAGTGATGATAGTTGTTAGACTAGTTAAAACATTTTTTAAATCTTTTATCCTGAAATGTTTAAAGAAAAACTTTTGAGAATAAAATTTGTCTTTGCATAATTTTGAAATAGAGATCTTAAGTTGAAGATCATATGTCTCAATCGATTGTCTTACAACAGCATATGCAAAAATGATTTATGTTATATTATCAATAACATTCATATATTCCCAAACATCCCTTGATTAAAAAGTAAGGAAAGAGACATCAGATTCAAAGCCAAAAAAGATATCATCATGAGAAAGTCAGAAAAAAATTTGAACCTCCGTTGACTTGTGTGTAGAATAGGGAAAATACTGTATCCACTCTATAAATAAATGTCATTATTAAGAAAAAGAAGAAAATGGGTTTTGAAGTGTTAGATGAAACAGTCTTGGATGTACTTTTCTATTGCTAGATGTTTGTGATACATAATACATTCATTTTTGGAAAATATATGTACATATATGTATCATATCTTGACCATTTTTGGTCCCCTGTCCCCCATCCTCCCTGCCCTTCTCCTTGAACCCGGGGGAGCTACATCCCCTTACCTTTTAATTAAAAAAAAAATTAAGACAGGATCTCACTACTTAGTTAGATTTCCTAGGCTGCCCTTGAACTTAAGATCTTCCTGCCACAGCCTCCCAGAGTGCTGAGATTACATGTAAGCACCACCATTCCTGGATTTATTTAGAATAAAGGTTAAAAGAATAAAGTATTATCTTTCTTGACTGAACATTTCCAATAAAGTTTGAAAAATTGGAAATGGGAAAATAAAATTATATATATTTAAAAGATGAAATATAAATATATAAGAAACCAGTTTTATCAGATTAATTGCAGAAATATATTATCATTTTATATATTTTATATTATATCACCTTAACAAAGGATTTTATTAAATCTTTTGTCAATGTGTTAATCAATTTGTTTAAAATATACAAGTATATAGATACATTTATTTTTAATGCAAGACCAATAGAAGCTCCATTTCACATGGCCTTGACTCTTGTCATTTGCCAATTGTCTTGACAATCGGCATTGTCTTATAACCTACCTGCTAATCTATTTTTTCCAGGAAGATGAATTGAATCTTTGCTTCTCTCTTATCTGACATGTCATTCCTACATGAGAGGAGGCAACCTTTACAATTTCCTAGTTCTAACCTAGGAGATAATATCTGAAAGAGACAGGAGTATTTCATAGATATATTTTCTTTGGCAATCTCACACCAATCCCAGTCATCTGTCTGTATAATTCATCTCAATCAAAGAAATAAATTTTAAGCCATCATGTTGATGTAAACTCTAACTGAGATTTTTTTTCTAAATGTGTAATCTTTTGTGAAGCATCTGCTTTGATTGTCATTAGCTGTACATCTGGTTAAAAATATTCTCCACATGTTGGTTGCTGAAAAGGAAGTTTATAAAACTGTAACCCATGACTCAGTGGAATATTAGTAAAGTGTTTCAGTTATCCATTGACATTTAAAATGTCCATACGGGTTTGTCAGTACAGCTTTTGAAATGTAACAAATTAATATATTTACTTCATCTTAATTTTTGGACAGATGGCTTGAATATGACTGATTGATGCATTGGGCTATCCCTCAGCTTATCGAGACTTATTTACAGCGTAGGAGTCATTCTCCAAAGGCTGATTATCTGCTTCATTTACTAGGAAGGAAATTAACCTCCAGTTTCAATGCTCATGACTCAGCAGGTAATGTAAACTAATGAAAAAAAAAATCCCAAAAAGCCACTCATCTTCAAATCTAACAAGTCTCATTAAGAGCTAAATTGCTTTATTGGGCCCAAGAGATAGAAGCAATTATTTCAGTCCACTAGTTGGAATAATAAAATTTGGAAAAAGGAAGGAAAAGATTTATTTCCCAGCATAAGTAAGTAAAAGGTGTGCTATTTTAGTGATATTTTCACGTAATTCTATAAATATGAGTGCCTTGTAAGTTATATCATTTAGCAAAGATTTGGTTCACTAAAGCACATATTTCAACACCATATGTTAGATGTCACTTCATACTGAATTGAAGGCAAGCTCCAAAGAAAATACAACCAGTCAAAAGCATGATTTGGAAATTAGAAGGCATATGATTTTTTGATGATACAAAATTTATTCAAACTCCTACATTAAACTATTTCATAGTTTGTGTTGCTTTATGAAGACCTTTCTTGATTTAGTGACATACCTTAATGCTATTAAAAGTATATTCTTGGGCTGGGAATTTAGTTCAGTGGTGCCGCTGCCCGCCTCGCAAGCACAAGGTCCTGATTTCAATCCCCAGTACAAAAAAAATATATATATATATATGGATATAAAAAGGTGCTTTGACAGGGAATTTTCTCTTTGGACAAACAATTTGGGAGGATTAGTATAGTAGTTATTTCTAATATACATATATTTATAGTATAAATGATGTTATGACAGCTATATATCCACATGCAAAAAATTAATCTAGACACAAAACTTTCTTGTTTAATAAAATTTAACTCGAAATGCTTGAGAGATCTAAATGAAATGATCAGAACTATGATAGTTCTAGAACATAACACAGGAGAAAAATTAAGTGACCTTGTGTTTGATGATGAGTTCTTGATAAAACACCCAAAGAACAATTTATGAAAGAAAAAATGTATAAGTGGAATGTCATTAAATTTTAAAACTTTAGCTTTGCAAAACAAGAGACATTGTTAAGAGAATAAAAACAGAAGCCCCACATTGGGAGAAAATATTTGCAAAAAAACTTGAAAAAGTAAATTTATTCAAGGTATGCAAAGAACTCTCAAAACTTAGTAAGAAGTAAACAAATTAATCAATTAAAAATGAACAAAAATGTGAATGGATACCTCACCAATGAAAATATAAAGATGGCACATAAGCTTATGAAAAGTTACTCAACATCATATTTCATTAGAGAATTTCAGTGTAAAACAATAAGTTATCATTGTCCACCCAAGAGAATTGATGAAATAAAAAACACCAAAATTTTGGTAAAGATATGAACCTTCACATACTCTCATTCATCATTTTTGAGAATGCAAAGTGATAGAGCCTCTAGGAAAGACAGTTTGGCAGGTTTTAACAGAGCTATATATACTCTTACCAGTAATTACTTGGTAAATATGAAAACGAGTTAAAATTTGTGTTCATAAAATCTTTAATGGGAATTTTACAGCAGCTTTATTCATAATTGAAAAACTTGATAGATAAATGTCTGGAGCAGGGCTAAAACTCTTACAAAATTCTCAATTTGAATCTTATTTAGTTTCTATTTTTGATATTTGTATGAAGCTTAAAAACCATTTTTAGACTAAGAAATTTTCTTAAAGCACAATATTCATAAGTTCTTGCCTCTGACAAGAACAATAATCTGGAATACTTAACATAAAAATTTCAGCTTAAACTATCAATAACTCCTATTGTTATAGCTGTCCCAGCAAAAAAGACCATGCCATGAAAATGTCCAAACTAAAAGGATCCTTTAATAGCTTGCAACCAAGGATGAGTTCATGCTCTCATCTTGCTTGGTACCAGTCAAGCAGGGAAGCCCAGTTTTTAAAGGGAAAACCACACAATAGAATGTCATGATCTCATCTTTGAACAAGAACATGGGTACAGAAGCAGATTGCAAGTTAGATTAAAATCCAATTTTTGGATCCATCAGGAAATTCCAATATTTATGGTTAGGTCCACAGTATAAGGTGTCCTGTTCTTTGTTCTTAACCACAAGGTAAGCTATGTGCTGGTTAACTTATCACTTTGAACAAACAATCTGGGGAGGAAAAGGAGTAAAGTTCAGGCACAGGCTATTGGGGCTTGGAGTGGTTTCTGGTTAAGTCACTTACTTCATTCCCCACTTTCTTTGGAAATTGAGTCAAACCGTTGACTCTTCTTCAGTTTCAAGGAGGTTATAAGAACACCTTAACACCATTAACTTTACAGAAGAGATACGATCTTGCACAAACTTAACTAAGCAGTTGATTTACATGGGGCTATCATGAGCCCAAGCAGGACAAGAATAAGAGGGCCTGTAATAGAGGAAATCAATGCTGTGAGCCATGGGGACCAATTAAACATTTTTTTTAAACCATCCTCAGTAGGAGATAGAAGGAATCTAAACCCATGGTTGGAGCCTTCATAAGTGTCCCAACAGTAACAAGGGCAAATCAAGGACAGAAGGAGGAGAATCATTTTTAGTCTCTTAAGTCTTACCTTAAGTTGCTCAGGTCCTGGCTCCAGAGTCCACCATTCTGGAGAGGCCTTCACTCGGGTGTGATGAATCCAGGTGGGGATCCCAGCAGAGGGTATTGTAAGGACAATGAGATGCAACCCCTTCCAATGTGGCTTTAGTCCTTCATTGGTAAAGCTCTTTGCCAACACCAAATCTCCAGGCTGGAATGAGTGGGCTGGCTTCCAGCTGGGGAGTGGTAAGACCTTCCACAGGGTGCAGTGGACCTTTTTCTGGACCTATTGAAGCACCTATACATATTTTAACATGGATTCATTAGTTAATTCTGCCATAATAAGGTCCTTGATTTGGGGAATTAACGGGGGAGGTCTGCCAAACAAAATCTCAAAAGGAGTATACCCAGCCTTGTAAGGAGTACAACATGCCCGAAGGAGGGCCAAAGGAGGGAGGTTGACCCAGTTCTCACCAGTCTCCAAAATCAATTTGGATAGAGTAGTTTTAAGAGTCAGATTCATCCACTCTACCTGTCTTGATCTCCAAGGTCTATATGCACAATGGAGCTTCCATTCTGTCCCTAAGGTTCTACCTACTGCCTGTGTTACTGCTGACATGAAAGTAGGTCCATTGTCTGATTCTATATTAATCAGAAGCCCATACCTAGGGACAATCTCTTGCAAGAGCTTCTTGGCTACTACTTGTGCAGTTTCCCTCTTTGTTCACCATGCTTCGACCCACTCAGAGAATGTGTCTATCATCACTATTAAGTACCTGTACCCTGCTGCAGGAGGCTGTAGTTCGGTGAAGTTCACTTCCCAATATTCTCCTGGGCTTAACCCAAGTAACCTGACCCCCACTTCCCTCTTTCTACATTGACTGGCATTCACTTGAGCACACACTGGACACTGCATGCTTACTGAGCAAACTGCGTCATGGAGACCAGGAATGAAAAACTAGGAAAACAAGAGATCAGTCAGTTTTGTTTTTCCTAGGTGGGTAGTGGAGTGGAGCTGCCAAGCTAGTTCTCTTACCAAGGTAGCTGGCATGATGTTCTTCCTAGCCTCCCTTTCCCACAATCCTTGAGAATTTTGGGTGGCCCCACTTTCTTTTGCTTGATTTTTCTTCTTCCAAAGTGCATAAGTGGGTTTTTTTCTGGCAAAACCAGTGGTGGATATGACAGTACAGTCAGGACTTTGATAGCCTCCACAGGGTCTTAGGCAGCTTCGTGGGCTACTTGAATGGCCAGTTGATTTCCTTCTGCTTCAGGTGAGTCACCTTTTTAGTGTCCTCTGCAGTGCATCACTGCCACTTCAAGGGGGAATTAAACAGCTTCCAATAAAACCAGGATTTCTTCTCTATTTTTGTTCTCCTTTCCAGCTGACATCAAAAGTCCCCATTCTTTGTACAGCATGGGATGAACATGAATGATGGCAAACACATACCTGCTGTCCATGAAGACATTGATCCTATTTCCTTGTCCCCACTGCAAGGCTTGCATGAGGGCTATCAGTTCTGTCTTTGGAAAAGAGGTGCCTGCAGGAAGGGATTGGGCCCAGATGATGTCCTTTTGGATGGTGACTGCTGCTCCACCCTTATGGAAACCGTGCTCTACAAAGCTGCTTTCATCTGAAAACAGGATCATTTTGGCTCTATCTAGGGGAATGTCTCAAAGATCAGGCCGGTGTACTTGGGTGAGATCAAGGATCACTTCTTCTGGGCTGTCATTTGGTAACAGGCTGGCTGGATTTATGGCCTGAGTGGGGCAGAAGGAGAGTCTGGGCTAATTGAGAAGGAGGCTTTAGTACTGGGTGATATGGCCATTTGACATCCAATGGCCCATGGCCCCTTGGAGCAAGACCTCCATGGCATGTGAGGAAGTTATTTGTAGCTCCTGACCCAGTGTCAACTTATCAGCTTCTCACACCATGGTAGCTGTAGCAGCCACTGCCCTTAAACAGGAGGGCCACTCAGAGGGCACAGGGTCCCGTCTTTTTGACAAATAGGCCACTGGCCTTTTCTAAGGGCTAAAGTCTTTGGTGACCACCCCCTTTGCTATGCCCTTGGCCTCATGTATGAAGAGTCTGAATGGCTTAGTTATGTCTGGTAAACCCAAAGCTGGAGCTGACACCAGGGCCTCTTTTAAAGGTTGGATTGCCTCTTGTTCTTCCTCAGTCCATTTTAATGATTCATTCCCTCCAGCAGTGAGGTACAAGGGCTGGGATCTGTGTAAATCTTGGTATGCACAGCCAACAATATCCTGCAGCCCCTAGAAACTCACATATCTGTCTCTTGGTGGTTGGAATAGTTATCTGCATGATGGCTTTTTTCTGGGTCAAAAAGAGGCTGAGCTTACTTTGGTGTAATTTATAGCCTAAATAGGCCACTTCCTTCTGGCATAACTGTGCCTTCTTTGCCAAGACTTGGTACTCCAATTGCTGCAGGATCCCAAGTAGGTCTCTTGTCCCAGCCATGCAGTCCTGGGGGTCTTGGCTGCAAGAAGCAAATCATCAACATATCGAAGAACAGACCACTTGGGATGCTTCATTCAGAACACAGTCAAGTCTCATTGGAGAGCCTCTCCCAAAAGAGTCAGAGAGTTTTTGAAACCCTGCTGTAGACAGGTCCATGTGAGTTGGCCTGTCTTTCCTGTCAGGGGATCTGTCCATTCAAAAGCAAAGGCTGGCTGGCTCACAGTGGCCAGTGAGATGCTGAAGAAAGCATCCTTCAGGTCCAATACAGTGTAGACCTGATGCTTTGGAGGCAACAGACTCCACAGAGTATAAGGATTAGGCACTGTAGGATGGGTAGTCTCCACCCACTTATTTACCTCTCTCAAATCTTGCACCAGCTGGGCTGGTAGTCCTGGGTTCTGGGTTTCCAGACTAGCAAGAACAGAGTGTTCCATGGGGACATCCAGGGAATCAATATACCTGCCTCCAAGAGTCTCCGCACATGAGGAGCAATTCTGAGTCTGGCCTTCTGGCTCATGGGCTGTTCCCAGAAGAGATATCACTCTTGGGGGATGATGAGCGGCCAGTCCAGGGGGGTTGGTTTCACCCCAGACAGCCCAATATTCAGGTTGTAGTTCCTGTAAAAAAGAGCTAGGAGCAGGTACCTCCTCTGTGTCAGGAATCATCAGATAGTCTTCAGCCAAGGCAGTAGTTAATAGCAACCTTGGGTTGAAAGCTAGGGTCAATTGAGGTCCAGAAGGGGTGAAGGAAATTGTAGCCCTTAACTTATGGAGCAGATCACACCCCAGCAAGGGGAAGGGACACTCGGGGGCTACCAGGAAGGAATGTGTAACCCGTTTATGCCCCAAGTCCACTGTTCTTTCAACAGTAGTTGAATATTTATTGTTTTCCCCCGTGGTCCCTTGGATAGTGACAGCCTGGCCTGAGAGAGGCCCCGATGAATCTTTTAGAACAGAAATTTCAGCTTCTGTTTCTATTAGGAACCAAGTTGAGCGGCCCCCTGCCATTGCAGTGACCATGGGCTCCCAGGGGGGCCAAGGGTAAAGGAGCCCTGGCCCCATCGATCATCCCTTCTCCCTCAGCAGGGAGAACTGCTACTCTTTTCTTTTCCTTTCTTCCCACTGTACATTCCCTCTTCTAATGTCCAAACTGTTTGTACCTAACATATTGATACCTACCTAATTGGGACCGCCTCTTCTCAGCCCCTTCTTCCTGGTTGTCTCACCTTGCTGGTTGACCCCTTATGACTGCAGCTAAAATCCTTGCCTGCCTTCTAGATGAAATTTCAGCCTGCCTTCTAGACACTAGCTTGGCTTGTTTCTGTTTTTCTGAGTCTCGATTATCACAAACTTTCTGGGTATTTCGAGCGACTGGGAAGTATTCATTCCTGCAAACCCTTGTAATTTCTGTAACTTTCTCCTAATAACAGGAGCAGGCTGTCCGACAAAAGCCAAATTCACAGCCTGGGTATTTTCAGAGGCCAATGGGTTGAAAGGAGTCTATACCTAGAGAGCCTCCAGGAGTTGCTTGAGGAATGCTCCTGGAGTCTTCTTTGGCCCCTGAATTCTTCGGTGGTTTTAGACTAATAGGCTTCCAAACTGCCACTCAGAGCCCATCCATTAGAGTCTGGTGGTAATTTTTCAAAGCCTCTCTTCCCTCATCAGTATTTGCCCTCCATTTGCATCAAGTGGAAGGAAATAATCTGATTAATTCTTGCCTGGTGGGTCTCCTCTGATTCCCCAGCAGGGACCAGAGACCTCTGAGCAGCTGCCCTCATCCATTCCCTTTCTTCCCCAGTAAATAGCATTGTCAATAATTGCTGACAGTCATCCCAGTTAGGTTGGTGGGTCTGGAGGACAGAGTCCATAAGATCTCAGAAAATGGAGGATTTGAGGATTTCCAATTGTACAAATCTGCGGAAGAGAAGGAAACATATACTAGAAATAAAAGGTCAGTTTCCCCAAAGGAGGAGCCTGCCTCAAGGGAAGGAGGGTAGCAGGTTGTTCTTCCTGGCCGTGGAGCTTCCCCAAGCAGCCTGATCCCGAGACCTCAGATGAGAACTGGAGGGTGACAAAACCTCCCTGAGGCACTGAGGGTCTTGAGGAAGAGACTTCAGGATAGGCCACAGGTCTAAGGGGGTTATATGGAGGAGGCAATTCATCATTTCCATCATCGGATGGAGGCAGGACCAGGGGAAGTCATCCAGTTTCAGGCACTGCAGAAGTGGAGTGAGTGACTAGGACCACCATAGGCCATGGTGCAGGCTTACACCCAAGGCAGAGGGTGAGGGGTCAGTGACAACCATGAGTCAGTGTAAGGGTACTGATCAGGGTGGCTTGGTTTCCCAGTCACTATGTCCCATACTCTGAGGACCATTGGAGGATCAAAAGACCCTACATCTAGCTATGGGCCACTCTACTTCACATAGGGAATGCAGTCAGCTTTTTTTCATAGTCACACCATAATGCCCAGAAAAACCCTCAGAGAAGTGAGACAACATACATTGGAGGGGAGTTTGGGATTTAACTTGGGAAGCTCCCATAGTAAAAGAAATAAAACCACAATCAAACAAGCAGTCAAGAAAAGGATCAAAAGGAATTTTGATCCAGTGCCTGCTTCGCAAGTGCAAGGTCCCAAGTTTGATCCCCTGTACCAAAAAAAAAAAAGGGAATCTTGAATTCAAAAGGAGTCCTGGTCCATAGCTAGCCCAAAAGTGGGTCATTAGGATTAAGGAGAGCTCAAGGATGGCAGAGAAGGCAGTTTCCAAGGGAAGTGCCAGCGGCATCGACTACCCAAGAGACACAGGTCTGACACAGGAGAAAAAAGACTTCCCTCATAAGTGGCAAGGGCTGCAGTCACCCTCTCCTTACAAATGAGGTAGTAGGGCAAGCTGGGGAATGGACCAGGTTGAAAACCTGGACCTTGATATTCCTTTAGATGACTGTAGTAATGGTGATGATGCCTCCTCAAAACAAAAGAATTCCCAAAACCCTTATCCCTTAATGGCCCTAGGAGGGCTAAAAGAGAATTCCCCTAAGGAGGAAAGCATCCTCAAGTTCAGGCACATGCCATTGGGGGGGGGGGGACATTGCTTACTTCACTATCTACTAAAAGTTGTAATAAAAAACTACATCAATAGACAAAAGTAATTATACATCAGGCAGATAAC